CTGCAGACCAAAGTCCCTAAGCTCTGCCATTCATTCCATGCCTTCCTCATTGTGAGATTGGCAGAAAGGGACCAGGAACTGAGGAAGACCTCTGTCTGCCGCAGTCTGATGGGAGGAGACAATGGCCTGTGGTGGGTTAGCATCGTACTTTGGCCAGCAAGCCTGAGCTAGCCAGTGTTTCCCTTCATTTTGTGGCAAATATTGAAGACATGATGTGTGCAGGGCACTGCCTTTTGGAAAGAAATCAGACAAGAGGAAGATGCCAGCTGAGAGCAGGTGCTGGTTGCTCTTCCAGCTTCCAGAGTGTGATGGGGAGGAGTCTGTGGTCTCAGATGCGTGTGGGGAGTGGAGTGCCTGGGATGCGGCCTGAGCTGTCTTTTGAAGGAAAACAAAGCCTCTCTCACAAACTACTGAGTGCTGTGGAAGGTTTCTTAGGAAATCTGACAGAATCACGTGGGTTGATGGTGTCGCCTATCTTTGGTTTGCATTTGTTTGCAGAGTTAATTTTCCTTTGCTTCAGACTTTTTTCCAAAATGGTATAACCGTTTGCTTGATGTTAACCTTCAGGTAGCACATAAAGATGGCCGTGCTTATCATTCCATAGGGCTCTTGGTGCTGAATCATGACTGGACGATTATGAGGAAGGGTTGGGGCGGCACAGTGGTCGATCCATCTTGATCATCAGCTGAGCTTTCAGGACAGAATGTGGGGGTGTTAGCTTTTTCCACTCACTCCTCCATATTTTTCTATTCCTCTTACCTTTTGCCCTTTATTTTCCATCTTAAAGGTAATTTTCATCTCAGTGTCTTATAACCAGTGCTTTAGGCTCAGTGCCAGATGGAGAGCAGAACTCATTCCTTCCATAGTAAGACAATTTCCAGAAAAAAAAGTTTTTGTTTGTTTTGGTTTATGGGATTATACAGGGCCTTGAATACCTCAGGAGAATTGCAGGAACAATACAGGAGATTGTTGTTGTTGTTGTTAAGTGCCGTCGAGTCGTTTCCGACTCATAGCGACCCCATGAACAGCAGAATGAAACACTGCCCGATCCCGCACCAGCCCCACAATCCCTGCTATACTCGAGCCCATCATCGCAGCCACTGTATCAATCCATCTCGTTGAAGGCCTCCCCCTCTTTCGTCGACCCTCCACCCTACCAAGCATGACATCCTTCTCCAGGGAATGGTCCCTTCTTACAACATGACCAAAATAGGTGAGACGAAGTCTGGCCATTCTCGCTTCCAAGGAGCATTCTGGCTGCACTTCCTCCAGGACAGATCTGTTAGTTCTTTTAGCAGTCCATGGTACTTTCAACATTCTTCGCCAGCACCACAACTCAAAAGCATCAACTCTTCTTCGGTCTTCCCTATTCATTGTCCAGCTCTCACATGCATACAAGGTGATTGGAAATATCATGGCTTGTGTCAGGCGCACCTTAGTCCTCAAGGAGACATCCTTGCTCCTCAGCACTTGAAACAGTTCCTTCGCAGTTGACTTTCCCAATGCTACACGTCGTCTAATGTCCTGACTGCTGCTTCCGTTGGCATCGATTGTAGAACCAAGCAATGTGAATTCCTTGACAACCTCAATCTTCTCTCCATTGATTAGAAATTATAATTTAGTAATATCTTGCGTTTGACCAGCGTGTTAATATCCTTTTGCCTGTAACTCCTCCTCCTGTACTGGTCAGCTAGTAGCATAGCACACTGGTCAAGGGTATAGACTCTGATCAGGCTTCCTGGTATGGGGTGCTAGCTCTACCTCTAGTTGACTGTGTTACCTTGAGTAAGTGACAACCTTCTAAGCCCTGATGTCCTCATCTGTCAAATAGAGTGAATACTAACATCACTCTGTATGATGGTAAATGAGGTGGGCATGGTGGTGTAGTGCCTAAGGCACTTGACTGCTAACCAGAAGGCTGGCGGTTCAAACCCACCAGCCACTTCTCGAAAGGAAGATTGGGCAATCTACTTCCGTAGTCATACTACCTCAGAAACCCAAGGAGGGGTTGCTATGAGTCAGATTGACTTGACAGCAATGAGTTTGGGTTTTTTTGGATAATGTGTCCAGAGTAAATGATAGGAAGTCTAACACCATCCTCCTTTCTAAGGAGGGTTCTGGAGACTCCTTCTTCCAAGATTTGTTCCTTCTTCTGGCAGTCCATGGTGTAGTCAGTATTCTCCAGCACCATGATTCAGATTCTCTTCAGTCTTCCTCATTCATTTTTCAGCTTTTGCATGCATATAACAATTTCTCTAAGACATCCCTTGTAGACCTTCTTGTGGGTTTAGCAAGATGGCTTACTTCCCTTCACTGGCTGTATCTTAACCCCCTGTCTGTCATGAAGGAATCACATTGAGATACAGGGCACTGAATGACGAAAACTCTTAAGAGGGATTACCTTGAATCTGTCCTAAGTTTCAGGAAAATGAAGTCATCGATGGTATTTAAGATGACTTATTAGTTATAAATCACCTTAACACTCACAGTGAATGTATCAACGCCTGGTGAGAGGACCTGGGCCAGGACACATCCGTCCTTACCTGCCCGTAGCCCTCTCTGTTCATCTGCCTGCAGATGGGTGCTCACTTCACAAATTTAAAAGTAGAAACAGACTCTAATCATTTAAAGTGCTGGTCTTTCAAATTTAAAACAACCTATGTGAATGAATCTCTGAAAATGAGATGCTTCATCTCCCAATGGCTGGTTACTCAGTAGATTGTTACTTAATGTATCAGCTTGACTTTGGGCATAGACATGAGCCAGATCCACCAATGCAGAGGAATTTAGGTCCATAAAGAGATCATCCTCATTCTCCGTGACCCACGGCCATCAAGTTGATTCTGACTCACGGCGACCCTCTAGGACAGAGTAGAACTGCCCCATAGGGTTGGCAGGGCTGTAATCTTTAAGGCACTAGACTGCCACGTCTTCCTCCTGCAGAGCAGCTTCAACCACCAACCTTTTAGTAAGAGCCAAACGCTTACCCACTGTGCTACCAGGGCTGCTTTCTGTAAAGATTATATCCTCCCTCTACCACATCATTATTCATCTGTCCACCAGGTGGGTGACACTGCCTCTTCAGATTTCTAGACTGGGGTGGAAAATAATCAGCCTAGCACATTTTGGATCCAATTCTGCCAGAAATCTGGGAGTGGGCTTCCCCATCCCACCCTCATGTTTTTTTTCAGCGTTCTGATTTTGTACTAATGGATTTGTAACCAATCAGAGATTAGAAAATACAGCTTTCTCAAAGCTTGGCTAAGTCCTTGTTCTGGTAGCATTCCCAAGACTTCTTAGCTAAAAACTAAGATTCCAAGGATGCAAGGGACTGGAGAAATGGGGATTGTGCCATAGACAAGTGTCTGCTTTGTCCAGTTAACCAGACCTGGAACATTCTATCTGGTTCTGTAGTTTAGTGTATTATCACTGAATAGAGGCGGCTTTGGAGAAGGCTTTAAACAAAGTAGGTCTCTGGAAGGTTTGTGCTTGGCTACCAACTGTGAGGTTGGCAGTTTGAATCCACCCACTGGCCTGTAGAAGAGAAACCTGGCAGTCTGCTTCCATGAGATCCCAGCCAGTGAAAACCCTGTGGAGTGCCATTCTACTCTGACACGCCTGGTATCACCATGAGTTGGCATCTACTTGTTGGCAATGGGCTTGGTGGAGCAGAGTGTTCGTGCCCTCTCCAGGAGTGGGGGCCTGACGGCTTCCTGTCTCTCAGCACCACCCAGCTGTCATAGTCCTTGTTTTCCCTACAGAAATAGCAAGGCAGCGTGTGAAGGACACTAGGAGGATGTGAACATCTCCTTGGTCCTGGAACAGTGGCCAGTCAGTGCAGGCCCTTGGTCTCTTCTGTGTTTCATAATAACCAGTATCAGATAACACTGTGTCTGGAAAATTTTCTCTAAAAAATAATGGAAGAGTCCAATCTTTGCAACCACATTCCAGTGTGCTGAATTTGACCTAGGAAGTCAGACTGGGTAGGTAGGAATCGGTCACAAAAGAGAGAAGCAGTAATATGTAAAATTTGATGCGGACAAATGATAACTTTGCCATGGCATTGGATCTCTTAGGGAGAAGAATTTAGATGGAATAGGACAGATCCGTTTGAAAATAATTTCAGTGAAAGTAAGTTGGAAAAAAAGTGGAAATGATACATCAGTGGTGTATCAAAAACTGATGAAGAGATTAGGTTTGCTTAATGGAGTTCAGTTCAGAAGATTCTCAACAGAATTTCACCTGGATGGATACAATCCTGATGGAACTCTGAAAGTCCCGACTTCCTTGGGAATTAAAGGGCAAGATTGCAAAGCCCAGTATCCCCCTGGCATCATGAAGCAGCCATGACTCCTTTTGTGGCATTTGGCCATGCACATGTGCATTTGGGAGCCCTGTGGGCCCTGAAGACCACGCTCTGCTCACACACTTCTACAGTGCAGCTGCCTTGGCCATGGGAAGGCTTTACTTCTTTGGTAGTTGATAGGGTACTCTGGGTAAAGGGGTACCTGGTTATTGGGGTGCAGAGGTAGAGCTGGGCGAAGAGCAGAAGTACCACTGACTCCCAAGAGGAGTCCTCACCACATGGTTTGAGGGCTGTGAGGTAGAGGGATGGTTAATACTGTCAATCTCTGTTAATACAGAGGCTGATTGTTCAGGTGACTTGATTTCATGCTTCCTTGTTCCCATTGGCTATTGGACCCCCCTGGAAAAGGCTCTAAGAGAAAGTGAAACTTCAATAGGGTGTTAGTGACGTCTGTGCAACTTTCGTGATGGCTGTATGACAGAACAGAACACAAGTGAAAACATGGGAGCTGGAGACTAATGAAATAGCAAAATTTTGCTGTTCTCCTTAACGAAGGAGAAATAAGTTCTGTTGAGCTTTTAATTCTCCACGTCATCTCTGGTCCCGCGTGACAGTAGTCATTGGAGGGGTCCCCAGTTACTGTGCTTGTACTTGGTTTGGAGAAAACATGCCATCCTGTTTTCCTGTCTTTCAGGTTTCAAGTGCCCCATTTGCTCTAAGTCCGTGGCTTCTGATGAGATGGAAATGCACTTTATAATGTGTCTGAGCAAACCACGCCTCTCCTACAATGGTAAGGGCTCTGTCGACTCACTTGCCACCTTGAGTGCCAACCGGCTGTTGGGGGGGTGGCAGATGGTACTGTGGGGGCCTTTATGAGGGTCTCCCCAGCCTCATGTGGCTTTGTGCAGCATTTCTACCCGCCTTCTGGCAGGAATGCCTCAATGGTGATTAAGGATTCAGACTGTTCCAGGCAGACTTGTGGATGGAGAGGAAGAGTAGTGGGACAGGGGAGGGAGAAGCACAGGGTCAAGTTCGAGCCACAACTTCTCTCATGTTGCTCAGTTAATCCTTCTGCTCTTTCTTCTACTCCTCAGTTCCTGGGCCCTCTGGTTGGGAGAGGGCCATTCCTTCACCTGTTCCCACCTGACTGTGTTTGACAGCTGGACTCACTCCAAGAGTTAGTTTGAGCAGCAGAGGGGCCCCAGAGGCAGCACCCTGGCCTCGGGGAAGGGCCATCTGTCTGTTGGTGGTGTGTACAGAGTACTGGGAAGCCTGATTGTTCTGTTGGTCACTCTGCAGCTCTTGGAACACCTGACTAAGCTCTGTAAGCGTTCAGGACAGTACTTGGGCACCCTTTAGCAATTAAAAATGCTGGCATGCTCCCTAGTTGGTCCATCCCAGCCATGCTGCTTCCTGTCTGGGAGGCTGTCAAAGAGCTGAGCAGTGAATAATCGGGGAGGATCATGGAGCCATAGGATTCCGTGAATCCCAAGTCACCCTAGTACGGCACCTCTGTGCACAAAATGAGTGTAACTATCCGCTGGGTCTGATGTGGGTAAGGGTTTGGAGGTAAACCAATCTAAGTTCCAATACTGTGTCTACCACTTACTGGCTGTATAATCTTGGACAAGTCACTTACTGTGGCAGAGCCTCAGTTTTCTGTCCATAAAATGGGGATCTCAATAGCCATTTTGTGACTGTTCTGACAGCAGTGTCAGAAGTGATGAGATAGTACACATAAAACACTCCATAGCCTGGTACATGGAAATCACAGCCACGTGAATGATGCAAGGCCTTCCGTAGATTTCTCTCATCATTTGTGGGCCGACTTCTACTGTGGTGCTGCTCACCCTGTGTTGCTGGTGACTCTCTGGTTTTCCATTCTGTTATGTATGGAGTCTGGTCTTCAAATCATGTTTGTCAGAAAGCATGTCTTCTAAGAACAGACATTGAGTTGGAGCGGGGTGCTCTCCAGCTCTGGCATGGGGCCCACCTTCTAGGACTAAAGTCATAGCCGTGGTCAGGAAGAGTCCTGAGATTTCTTAAGAGCCTCGGGACCATGCTCACGGGGAGCCTGGATAGTTGAGCCCTACCCTGACTGTGGAAGTTCTGGGGTAGACCCTCCTCGTAGGCCCCGCTTTGGGCTCCTGCCCTGTTAGTTAGCATATTAGACCCAGAGATGCTCTTTTCCCCACAGCCCAGCCTAGGGAGGGCCTGTGGTGCTAAGGGAGAGTTTATCACCTTCCCAGTTGCTCCTGGGAAATGAGGGGGAGGAACCTGATCTGCTTGGTTCTCCTGAAAGCATCTGCTTTTCTCTCGTCTTGCATTTACTTGCTTTGCTGAAAGGTTCTGGGTCAGGAGGCCATGTGACCCACCTGTCCTAGCTGCCGGGAGCCTGTGGCCCAGTGTCTACCCCCAGTAGATCTTTCTCTTTTATTTTGTATCTGGTGTCACGGAAGCATCTTCTTTTATCCAGGGGACGAAGGCTGCCCTCTGGGGACTGGCTGTGGCCACGTCTCTGACTCTTGTCACATGTGCCCGGGGCTTCCATGTAGACTTGTCTGTGTGCATCTGTTGGGGGTCCTCAAGCTCGGCTTTGTTCCTGTTCCTGTCTCTGCTTGGGACCATGGGGGGAGCAGAGCCCTCTGCTGGGCCTCACAGCCCTCCCCAGCCACCACCTCACAGACTGGATTCACTTATCTGTCCACATGTGTGGAGACCTCATGAAGACCTCTTTTTGTCCTGTGAGTTGTGAGGAGAGTTCTCTGTGGACACTGTCTTTGCTGTAGTGAGAACACAAAGAAGCCTCAGAGTGGCCTCGGCCGGAGAGAGCTTGGCTGTTAGAGTCGTCTGGAGGACTCTGGGAGAGCGGCTGTGGAGGCAGAGCCCTCTTGAGGCCCCTGAGTGAGGGGCCACCCAGCAAGCCCCTCTGGGGAACAGGGAAGACGGTCTGCTCGTGGTGTCTCCAAGCATCTCTGTGTCTTCTTCTGAATTGGCTCTTGAGCACCTGGTCTTACCAGATCGTGTCCTCTCCACCAGCACCACAGGGGAGGGTCCTTCTTTCCCTTAGAAGACCAGGCTTGGCGGCTCAGTCTGAGCATAGATTATCCACAGAAACTATGGGTGGCGTCCCTCAGAGGGAAAGTGGTTGGCTGGCCTAGCCCGAGGCCCAAGCAGAAGTTGTACTGGCCCTATTTTTCCTTCCTCCTTTGATTGAGAGGCCACCTCCTCAAGGCGTGTGTGTATCACAAGGGACTGAAAACTAGAGACTTTATTTGTTTGATTTGATTGTGATTTGGGTGGAAGTTTACAGAGCAAATTGCTTTTCCATTCAATAATTAGTACACATTTTGTTTTGTGACGTTCACTGCAATCCCCACAATAGAACATCACTCTTCCAACTTCCTCCCTGTGTTTACCATTTCCCTTCAGCTTTTCTTACCCCTTCCTGCCTTCTGAACCTTACCCTGGGCACACGGTGCCTTTGGATTGGGTATGGTTGATTGATCTGAGGAATGCGCACCACCCTGGTATTATTGTTCATCTTAGAGGCCTGTCTCGGAAGGTGGGGCAATCTACTTCCGTAGTGATACCGCCTCGGAAACCCAAGGTGGGGTTGGTGGGCTTGCTGTGAGTCAGGTTTGACTCGACAGCAGTGAGTTTGGTTTGGTTAGGCCTGTCTGTATTTGGCTAAAAGTTGAGCTGGAGGAGATGAGTTCAGTTTCTGGCCTGAAAGGTAGCTGAGGGCCATGTCTAGGGTGTTCTACCAGTATCCATCAGACTAGTAAGCCTGGTCTTTTTATTATTTTGAGTTTTGTGCCACATCCCCCCCCTCCACACACACACACACTCTGAGACCTTCTATTGCAGTCCCATCCAGAGCAGTTGGCAGTGGTAGCTGGGTACCATCTAGTTCTTCTGGTCTCACAGTCACAGAGGCTGGGGTTCATGTGGTCCATTAGTCCTTTGGACTAATTATTGGAAACTAGAGGCTTTAAAAGGAGCTCTGGTAGCACTATGCCTAAGGCATTTGACTGCTAACCAGAAGGTTGGCGGTTCAAACCCACCAGCCACCCCATGGAAGGAGGCGGGCAATCTATTTCTAGAAAGATTTATTGCCTTGGAAATCCAATGAGGGTCACTATGGGTTGGAATTGACTCAATGGCAGTTGGTTTAGAGACTTTAAACTCAAGAGTTTAAGCTGATCTTAAGCTGATCTCTTATCACCAGGGACAACATTGCATCCCCTGTATTATCAGTGACATTTATCTTAAAATGAAGAAGGTGCCTCCGAAACAATGGTCTGACGAAACAATGGTCTGACCCAATGGTCTGACCGTCTGTGGTTCCTGTTAAAGCAAAAGTGAACTTCATGGTGTTGTCAGCTGCTCATAGTCAGTCATTTGTCTTTCCTGAAGACACCCAAGCCTTCCAGATATGAGGAGAACATTTGGCCATCTGGGATTCAAAAGCTCGGGGTACAAGTCTCCAGGAGACACCTCCACATCAAGGACCTATTCTTTTTCCCGCTTCGATTCAGACCGTCCTTTTCCGGAAGCAGCAGAGACCAGGGCTTTGCCACCAGCCTCCTCTCTGGGTCTCTTAGCCTTGGCATGAAGCCAGGAGGGTCAGGAGATGGGGGTGCTTATTTTGGTCTGTCAGTGCCATGTTTTACCCGTGAGTGCCCATCGTCCCAGCCTTCCCTGCTCTACTCCACCTTTTCTATTAGGAAGAAGAATTATGAAGAGACTTAAGGAATCTGCGAGGGAAGAGCTCTTGGAATCTTTCTAGAAAGGGGACAAGATGAGGCTTTCTCAATGGGGAGAGAGAGGGAAAAGTGCTTTCTCCTTGTAAAGATCTGCTCGCCCTCCTGGCCACTCCCTTGGAGATTTCCCACCTACACACGTTCTCACACACACACACCGTGCACACAGGCACACACTCCCATACACACGCCTGCTGTAATTTCTGGCACTGATTGGGGAAATATTTAGAAAATGTACAGTGGTTATGTAAGATGAAGTTTAGTTAACCACCAAAGGAAAAAGTGGAAACCTCCTAAATGAGGCAGATAGAAAGTAGTATTTTTCTTATTATGAGGATTGGCCTGAGCAGTGGGTTGGAAGGCCTCCAATAGTCCCCTGCCAGACTTTAAAAAAAAAAAAAAAAACAACTTAGAAAAGGCAAGACTAGTTTAACTGGTTCACCCAGTGCCCAGGAGGAATTTACAGACTTAATACTTGGTGCTCCCAGTGCTGCTCCCAGGTCGAACGTCTGGCCATCAAGGCTTGTGACAACGCTGAACATACAGGAGGGCCAGGGTAGGGGGGTGGACCCCAAAACACTAACTGTGGTGTCCCTTGTCCCGGAGTACTCTTCCCTGGGCAGCTCTGGACCAGGACTCCTGGCAGATGTGTAAGGAAAGGGGACCCAGTGACGTGGGTGGGTGTCATCACCTGGAGCAGCCTTTTGCTTTCTCTCGTCCCCACCTCCGTTCACAGTTCCGAAGCTTTGGGAACATGCCTTCCAGGAGCACTCCCACCGCTCCCACTGTGACTCTCTCAGTGGTCTGCCAGGAGAACAGATCTCAAGATGCAGGCTCTGAGAGATGGTGTGGGGTGCGCATACAGCACCAGCCGGGGTCTCGGGCCCTGGGAGAGGGTGGCAGTGGTGGCAGTTGCTTTGTCAGCAGTAGAAGGAGGGCCGCTTCAGAAGACAGTCTCTCCTGTCACCAGCTCTGTTTCTTACTCCTCTTGCCAAGGGTCACTGCTCCCGACTTCTGGGGTTCTTGAGCTGTTGTCACACAGCTTTCTTTAAAGGGGGGGCCGGACTCCTGAGAAAGCAGCGCGCCTCCTGCCTGTGGTTTATCCCTACCCGAGCCAGCAGACACATGGGAACAGGTGCTTCTTCAACCTGTTGCGTCTTCTGCTCTCAGAGACCCTGTGGTTGGCTGGCAGCACTTTCGTTCATGCCTGGGGAGGTGGTCGTGGGCTGGGGAGTTTGCTGGCCCTGCGTGGGGCACCAGGAGCTATTGTGAGTACCCCAGCAGCACTGGAATCGGGCAGCTGCAGAGGTGTCCCCAGGCTCCTTCAGGGAGGAAGGAGGGAGAGAGGAGGCGGGCTCACCCAGACTGACCGAGGCTGGGTGAATAAGGAGTGGGAGGGAGGAAGCCTGCCAGGCCAAGGCAAAGGGGAAGCTAGAAAGGGCGGGCTAGAGGAGGGGACTGGCTGGGGTGGCTGGGGGCCCTCCAGGACTGTCTGGCCCACCCTCTGGGCGCTGTCACTGCGGCCCACCTCGCCTGATGATGAATTGAGTTGCGTCTCACAGCCCTGGGTTGTTGGTAGGCATGCTGTTGCTGACCAGGAAGCTCTTCCTGTCAGCCAGGCCCAGCAGTGACGACACTGCCCCTTCCTGTCCTCCGGGAGACCAGGCAGGTCATGTGGTTCTGCACCAGCTAAAGAGGCTGCAAGCCCAGGAGCCCATGCCCAGGCAGGAAGTGAAGCTGGGGGTGGAGCCTGGCTCCCTGCCGTCATCTGCCAGGGGTTCTCCCTCTGGCTCCCACGTTCCCTCCCACTGGGCTTGAACTGCCACCAGGCACAGGGGACCTGTATAATGCACACTCCACCCTGCTGCTGACTCAGACCTCACTCTTCAGCCTTCCCTCCAGCCTTGGGAATAAGGTTGTGGCTGTGGTGCCACCCCCTCCAGGTGGCCAGCCACTCTTGGGACCTAGGGAGTGTTTTGCTAGAGCTATTCACAGAGCACATTAAGTCGCAGTGTGGCAGGCCAACAAGGACAGCTCCCTAAAATCTGGTTTGTTCCCTCTAAGCACCCAGATCCCTCCACCGCTACCTCCCCCCATTCACGTGTCCACACAGGGATTCGAAGCTGCTGCCTGTGAGCTGGGCGGTGTTTTGCAGCCCAAGGGAAGAGACCGGTGTTGCCTGGTCTCATAAGTGAGAGGAGGCAGGGCGGCTGAGCAGAAGGGATTGGGCTTGGAGTTAGATGTGGATTCAGATCCTAACTTGGTCATCCACTAGCTACATGGGCTCATCCAAGCCACCAGCTTCTTTGAGCAACATCTGGAGGGTGAGGACATTGGGTTACATCTGTGAAGTTCCTGACATACAAACCAAAAACCAAACCCACTGCCATCAGATTGATGGCATGGAGCAGCTGGTGGCTTCAAACTGTCTCTCTTTTAGCTTGTAGTTGTTGATGTACCCACTGTGCCACCAGAGCATATAGTTGGGTCCACATGAGAACTTGTCTTTTTCTTCCATCTTCTTTAGTCTGACAGACAGCTCCTGTCAGGAGGGCTGCCCCCCACACCTCCAGGAGGGAGCAGAGGTAGTTTATCACCTCCCACCCCCAGTTCCATCAGTCTTCACACGTCCCATTTTGGTGCCAGGGACCTGGGCCTGCCCTTCTGATTTGGTCCCCAGGTCTGATTGCAGGAACAGGCATTTGGTACTCTGAGCCAGGCCAGATGCACTTCCAGACTCTCCCTTGGGCAGTGCTATTGGTTTGCTTTGGACACTGGTATCAAGAAGCCTGGGGGGCGAGGCAGTAAGGAAAAGGTAGAATTCAGAGAAGCAGAAAGCTTGGCTTGTCTCTGTCTCATCAGCCAGCACTCATTGGTTGAGCCACTTCTCCAGGGGCCTGGGACACTAGGGAGGTGACCTTCTGTGGGCTTGAGTCCTTGGCTTTGTGCCGTGAGGTCTGCGCCTTGACCTCCCCCTCTCAGCAGGCAGCAGGCAGCAGGCTTCCATCCCATGACCACGGACGTCATGTGGGAGCCAGTCGATAGCCACACTTCAGTCTTGGGGAGTTCCACTCCCCTACTAGGACTCCAGGGACATTTGGGGGCTGCTGAGTCCGAGAGCCCTAGGGATTGGAACAGGAAGTTTTAGTCACCCACTGAGACTTCTTGCTGACCTTGCGCTGTGGGAAGACGGCTCCCTCTGGGCACTGCACTAGGTGTGGCCCTGTTGGCTTTCCCCGGCTGTCAGACTCCCAGTGCCTGGCTCCTTCCCGTGCCTAGGAGTCTCCGGGCAGCCTTTTTAGCCAGTGGCCTCAATTCTAGTGAAATGTGCTGGTTGTCAACCTGGTGAGGTTCTACAGTGCTCAAACCAGGCTAGCTGGTAGGCCATCTCCTTCCAGGTGGTCCTGTAGGTTAGCCAGAGAAAATGACCACAGGTTTGTCCTGGTGGCCAGGAAGCTAAGAGTGACTTCACTCACGACTGTGTGCAGGGAATTAAGTATTGTGTCTGATCGGCTTTGTGTGTCTTCTTCGGGTCTCCTGGTGGGGTGTTTGGAGTCAGGATAGCCTTCCAGGCCCTGAAGAATCCTCATCTTAGGTCATCTTGACACGGCACTCAGGTGTCTCCCTTTCCAGCATAATAATCAAAGGCTACTGAGAAGCAGCAATGGAGAGAAGCTCCAAGAGGGGGGTCCCAGACTCAGCACTACGATTCGCGAACCTCTGACTTGAGGCAGGAAGTTTAACCTCTCTGGGTTTCAGTCTCCTCATTTACAAAATGGGATAACACCATCTGCCCTGCTGGGCTTATAAGATGGTGAGACTTAGATGAAAACCCACACACACACACACACACACACAAGATCCCCAAGATCCCACTAGGCATCACTGGCAATGCTCAGAATTAAAGTGTTCAGTGGTAGGGAACTGATCTTGCTACAAGCTCACCTTCCCATCCACAACCTCGCTCTCTCAGTATTCCTCCCTTGGTTGTGAGAACTTCTAGGTTATCTTCTGCTCACTTTGCATTCAGCTGGCCTTCAGATACTGAAGTCACCGTGGCTTTGGTTTTCTGTTTTCTTTGGATTTCAGGATAAATTTCTCTCCAGTCTTTAATCCCTCCACTAGATCTGCCGCCCATGTCTCTGTTCTGGACCCCAGATGTGGACTCAGCAGACTCCTGGAGGTCTCCATTACCGTGTCCCAGTGGAGACTCCTGGTTGACAGTTCCCACCCAGGTCTGAATCGGTAGTGTCCATCCCATGCCCATCCTCGTCCTGCAGGTCTCCCTCACTTAGTGCAGAGAGCGGCATCTGCCCCAACTGGCCCCATCACCCCCCCACCATTCCTCCTCTTCTCTCCCGCACTGCTGCCTTGGCTTCCCGAGAGGGCTCTCTGTCTCTGGTCTCCACAAGTCTGTTCCCCAGATGCTGCCAGAGAATGTGCCCCTCAGTTAACCAGAAAAGCCCAGACACCACCCCTCCCATGGCCCCAAGTGTTTCTTTGCAGCTACCATCATGAACTTCCTGCAGTTCTCAGATGCCAGGATTGTTGTTATGATGATGCCAGTATACCACTTTCTTACCTAGAACATCCTCCCCTCCACCATGTCCGTCAGACTCACCTCGGGGTTACCTTCTCCCAGAAACCTCCGCGAACAACCCCAGCGTGGGTTAGGTGTATCCCTCATACTTGGACCTGCCTTCATCATAAAGCTTTCTAGAAATGACTATATTTCAGTTTAGTAGGTTCCACCTTCCCTGCTGGACTATGAGCCTCTTGAATCCTGAGGATGCGGCTCATTTGCCAGGAATTGCCCGTGCACAGAATGTCATAGAAATTTGACAGAGACTGGTGGCTTGACGATGGTGGGCAGCTGTGGTCTGCTTGGGACTTTCATTCACGACTTTGCTGACGGCCACGCCACGTGGTACTCTGCTTCCGTTCTGCTGTGCCTCCTTCCATTCGCACCGTTACTGTATTTTTCCGAACCAGAAATGCACGCATCTGGCATACGTGTGTGTGAGGGGAACAGCGTATGTCGGGAACAATGACAGCACACATAAGGATGCCGCCTGCCTCCCGCTGGCCCTCCTCCACACCAGGCCCTCTCCAAGCCTTTTTTGTCCTCCATCGCCTGCTGTATCCCTTCTTGTCTTTATAGTGAGGGCCTTAAGGACAGGGCTCATCTTGGGCTCCATTGTCCCTCCCAGAGCCCCCTAGAGGCCCCAGCTGGTTCCTGGGTCTGTGACTGCTGTGTGTCACCTATCTGCTGGTGACTAACCCTCTCACACTCTCCTCTCCCCCTGCAGATGACGTGCTGACTAAAGACGCTGGTGAGTGCGTGATCTGCCTGGAGGAGCTGCTGCAGGGGGACACGATAGCCAGGTTGCCCTGCCTGTGCATTTATCACAAAAGGTACATCCGGGTGCACCCAGCCTCCCATAGGCCCCTTCCCCAGGAGGCCTCTAGCCAAGCTCCCTCTGTGGGTGTGGGACGACCTCTTCTTCCACTGTGGGCTCTGGGGACAGATGGGTGCGCAGTGTGCTGACAAAGGGGTCCAAGCACCCCAAGTGCAGCCAGGGCTCAGGTGCCAGGGGTCTGGCTCTGGCTGGTGGCAGCTGCTGGGGAGAGCAGTGAAGCCCACCTGGGAGATTGAGGGTCTGTCTGGCTCCCTGAGCCTTTTCTTCCTCTGGGGCCCCGCCCTACTCCATGGGGTGAGAGCCTTAATCAGTGTGAAGGAGGCACTTGGTGGGGATGGCCTGCGTGTGCCCGTGAGGGCCTCGGCTCCCAGGGGACAAGAGCCGGGAGTCGCTACATCACCGTATCCCAGGCCGCTATCTTTAGCAGGGCCCAGGCTTGGCCTTGTGCTCCCTCCTGGGCTCCATCCTGGTTTCCAACTGGAAAGAAGACACCTCTCCCCAGTGGGGGATGCACTGTGCTGCCTTTGGCTGCCACCTGCTCTCTGGCTCCTTGAGCCCGGAGCTTGCTCGTGACACATGGGCCTTTCCAAAGCCATGGCTCGCAGGGTGGCGGGGTGACCAGCCAGCCAGCACACAGACAAGGCTGGTGCAGTGGAGGCTAGGCTCGTCCTGGGAACGGAATCTTAGACTAGGCCCCAGCACAGTGTTCTAGTGCCCCAGGGAGGCAGGAACCAAAGAAAATCTTGGGCCCTGTGGGGAATTATGCAAATAATCTGTCTGGTGCCTGCCTTTGAAAATACCCAGATGTTGATTTCCAAATCAGAAAGCTGTCTTGGGGCAATCTCTGTTCCCGCCTCCATTCTGATTTAGCTTTTCTGTAAACACTAGAGACCGGGGCTTCCTGTCAGCCTCCTCCTGGGCTCACTCTTAGCATAGCCAGGAAAGTCAGGCCTTGCACCCCCACCTCCTTGGGGAAGGGTAGAGGCCAGCTGCCCACCACTGCAGCAGAGCCAGGTAGAGCTTGGGGGGGAGGGTGTCTTTTCAGAGGGAGCCTTGGGGATAATCCTTTAACTTGGGAGAGGGCTCACTCAGGAAGGACCCTGCAGTCATGGCCATCCGCCATCTTTGCTCCCACCTCCCTACCCTTCAAACCTGAGAGTCAGCTGCCCAGCCGCCCTGTGCCGCCAGCCTGCTCACCCCGCCCCTCTCAGCTCTTACCCTCCTCTGGACTTAACACACTAAGGCCTCAGTCCTGCTCAAGGCCGTGGTCCTGCTCTTCCTGCAGAGCCCAGGCTCATCCCAGTCCAGTACCCTGAGCTGTTGTTTCTAGCCTGGCCAAGATCGGGCCTGATCTTCCCTCTTTCGGCTCAAAAGTGGGTGTCTGAAGACTACAGCTTCCCCCCCAGGCCTTTCCAGGAAAGATTTATGGACATCCCCCCAATCAGGAATCCAACCCCTTGAAAGTGCCCCGGTGGAGCAGTCTGGGCAGCAGGTAATGGCATCTCCCTTGCTGCCCTCTCCACTCAGTTGCATAGATTCGTGGTTTGAAGTGAACAGATCTTGTCCAGAACACCCCGCGGACTGACCCTGCCGGCGTGCTCGCTGACTCCTCTCAAAGGTGAGCCCATCAGGAGGTGGCCTGTGCCTGGGTTCGGGTCAAGTCATCCAAGGTGTCTGTAGCAGGGGCTGGGAAAGAGAGGGAGGTGTGCTCGAGAGTTCGAGTCAGGTGGAGAACATGCCAGTGTATTCCAGAAGAAAGTGCACGGTTGTCCCGCGTGTGCAGGGGCCGGAGAGCAGCACTCACTCGGGCATGGACCGGGAGTGCCCACTCAGCCCTGTCCTCACTGCCTGACTCAGGGCCACGACCTCACCTCTTGGCGTCTCCCTTTCTTCTTTGGTGACCAGGAGCTAATCACACTTCTGTCCCCATGTGGACATGGCCCTCATTAATGAGAAGTCTAGGGGACAGGGTTCCGTCTACTGCAGAGTGCTTGTTGGCAGTGATGTTGCTATGCACACCACGGGACAGGCCCCAATTCCTCCAGCCCCCGCAGTGCACACGCTCCTGTATACCCCTGCTGGTCTGACCTCCTAGTCCCTCCCAGGGCACCTTGCTTTCATGATGGCCATCCTCTCTTGCCCCCATCCTCCTGTCCCTTCAGAGTTCTGGGCCGCCATCTCCTTTTTTTTTTTTTTTTTTCTGGCAAACACAAAACCCTCAGAAAAGCCAAAACCCCACCTTTACCTCACCTCACACCCAAAGGCTTGGAGGCTTCTTTTCTCCCCACCCTATGCCCCATTTTTTTTATTCCTCACTAGGTTTATTTTATTTATTCCAAGTAAACTTCCCAAACAGCTCATGATGTCAGAGAAATCAGGGACATTTGCTTTTTTTACCATCACCTCAAACACTGATGACATGGGGAGAAGAAACAGCAAGGGTGAGAGAGGCGCGGCGGGAGTGGTGCCGGCGCTGGAGCGCGAGTCCCAATGCCCGGCAAGATGTGGCTTCAGGGGCCCTCCCCGACCGGAACCAGCGACGCCCCGCCCCGCCCGGCCTGCACCCCAGCAGGATGGCACGCTTCCGGCCCTCTGGCCAGACGGAGCACGACTTATTTATTACGATCCACACAGGGACAGACAGGCCCTGTTCCCGAGAGAAGGCTCGCCGGACACTGGAGCAGAGCTGAGCGTGGGACACCAGTGGGGGACAGGGCACCCCTCCTGCACTGACTTCAGGAACGGCGCTCCCTTCCTCCCCGAGGACACCCCATTGGATGAGAGCGAGTTTGAGAGAAGGCATCAACCCTACCCTTCCCCTCACCCCTCATCCCAGGAGGGAAAGGGCATTTTCTTTTTCACCTTTGAAAGGCGTTGTGGGTCTGTCTTTAAAGTGTTTACAAAAAAAAAAAAAAAAATTATAAAAAAAAGAGTCTAGTGTCGACTGGTGTTTTTCCTCGTGATGTTTACAGATTGCTGTCTGCTGCCCACCTATAACCCACTCAGTGACAGAAGCGGACCTGGCTCAGGTCTCGCCGCCCACATGCTGATGATGTTCCGGGGGAGCGTGTGTGACACACGGTCTCTCCCCCCCCTTGCCCCCGGGTCGGCCCTCACCCACCTCACTGCCTTGTTTCATCTTTTCCTTCCATTTTTCCTGTCCGGGTTTGGCAGCCTTCCTCCCTTGGACCTTGGTATCTTGACTTCATTGCCAAAAGCAACCCATGGAGGACCCTCTCCCCCCACCCCCTCCAGGAACCCATCAAGGACTTCTCTCCTATCCCCATTTCCTTCCCTTGCCTCCTGGTTCAGGTCAGTTCAGAGGATTTAACCATCACAAGTGTCCTGAAAAAAAAAAAAGCCTGAACATTTTTCTTAGACCCTTGTGGATTCCCGCCCCCCAGGAAAACGTAAAGAAAGAAAAAAAAAAAGGACTTATTTTAAGAAGATGTGAGATGTACAGCTCCCTGTTTTCAGGCGCCCTGTTTGAAAACACATTAGCCATTGATGTTCCCACGTGGCATCAGCCCATGCAAGATAGGTTTCTGTATTTATATATTAAAATATGAAAACTTATAAAATGTAAAAAAAAAAAAAAAATATGTTCAAAGCTTGGGAAAAGCTTTCTTCATTAGTCAAGGTGTTTTGATATGGTATTAAAATCATGTCTAATAAAAGGTACGCTGTGATTTTCTTAATGAAGTATTGTATTAATCAAGAAATTGGGCAAAGCCCTGTTCCCAGTTTTTGACCTACCTCCTTAGCATTCCTTCAGGCTACTGTGTGGAGCTACAGGTGTGTGAAGTGGTTCTCAGGAGGTCAGACCTGAGTCCTACAAATGTCACAGAGTCCAGTCTGCCTTTTATCTGTGGAGTGGTTGTGATGGAACTCTTCTGGAAAGGTCTGCAAGGGCAAAGATCCTGCGGCCAGGTGTGGGCCCAGACGCCCACCTCCTGCAGCCTCTGCTCCCTGTGCTTATTGCTGAGACGGACAGTGCAGTGTCTCAGTGCTGACTCATGGGCATGCTTGAGGCCCACAACGAGGCCCTGGTTTGGGGCCGAGCCAGTTCAGAGCCCTTGAACCAGGAGCAGCCACTCGCTCACTGAAGTTGGCTGGCTGGGCTGGGCGGGCAGCACGGAGCAGCAGTGGCAGGCAGGCTTCTGTCCTGGTGCCAGGCAGGCTGCCGAAACAGTACTCCAGAGCTAGCCTCCTGCAGGGCCGAGCTAGGAGACACCCTGCGGGGTGTAGACATGGTGTATACTCATCAGCCCTGGCCCTTCTGGGTTCTAGCCCCTCTGGGCCCAGGAGTGTGGCCCCATCAGGCCTCCTGGAGCACCTACTCTGTGCAGGGGCCTTACAGATCAACGGGGAAATTTGAGCCCAGGCATGACTCGTGGAGAAACGCTGAACTAGAGTCAGTGGTGGTAAACTCGGGCCTTAGTGTCAGAGTGGCCTGGGCTGGAGACTAGGGGGGCAGCCAGTGCCACCCAGAGATACAGCAGCGAGAGGAGACTCCGTGTCTACACACGGCTCCTCTGCTGCTTTGGCACAACCTTGGCGGAGTACTTTATCTGAACTTAAGGTTCCTCGTGTATAAAATGGAGACAAACCCCACTCCCCCCCCCCAGCTAAGAGGTCACCGTGAGGGCCAGAGGCCCTGCCCCCCAGGCACCTGCCACAAGCCCAGCAGGCTCCCTGCTGCTTTGTCACCATAAAGGGCACCATTCTATTCACAGCACCTCCTGCTTCTGCCTGGCAACTGTGTCTCCTGTTCTATATTTAATTCTAGCAGCAAAGTGGTGGGGCAGGGCCCAGCCCTGCAGATCGCCTTGGCTGACCCCTGGGCCTGCAGACCAAGTTGGTGTGCCCCCAGCGGTGCCTTAGACCCAACAGCTGTGCCATCGCCTGCCCAGGGGGAGCCCAGTGGCCGTCAGCTGGATGAGGCCCGGCAGGAGCCCACACCAGGTGCTATTCCGAGCTCCTGGGGCTGGTGCGTATCCCCACCCCCACCCCAGCACCTTCCAGCCCCACCTGGCACACTGCCGCCCTCTGCCGACTGCCTTGACTGCGGCACCCAGGCCCAGATCGCCGGTTCTTGGGGTAGGGAAGGACTGGGGGTGCCTGGGCCTTCCAGGCGGAAGTAGTATTTGTCATTCTCCGCCCAGACGGTTGTCGGGAGTCCTGTATTTCTCCAGCTCTGCCTTCCTGGGGGGAGGACGGAGAGGAGCTGGCAGGTACGTTCTGTGTACTCCCTTTGCTAAGGGCCCTGCAGGCTTCTGCGAGCTCCTGGACACCTCGCCAAGACCATCCTTCCAACAGCTGTTTAAGGACAGGTATTAGAGTTTTGTAGGAGCCCTGGTGGAGCAATGGTTAAGCGCTCAGCTGCTAACTGAAAGGTCAGAGGTTCAAATCCACCAGCCACTCCGTGAGGACAGACCTAGTGATTTGCTCCTATAAAGGCAGGTTACAGTGAAAGAAATCCTATGAGGCAGTTCTGCTCGTCCTCTAGGGTATCTGTGTCGGAACCGACTTGATGGCACACATTAAGGTTTTGTAGGAGAAGGTCTTTAGGCCTAGAAGATAGATGCGGACGTATACAGGTGAATGATGTCATGAAATGTGTTATTTAATTCCAGACGGTTCCCAGAACATCCACACATTGAAAGCAAATAAGGCAAAAGTGTTGATTGTGACATCTTTGTGACTGGTTATTTCTGTGAACAATGTATTATTCTTTCTATTTTTCTTAATAAAAAGATTTTGGGGAATGGCCTCTTGCTGAGCACCTACCAGCTGCTGGTGCTGGAGTGCATCAGCGAACCCTGCCACCAAGGCTGCCTGCCTAGCAGGGAAGAGGTGTCCCATAGCTGGGCTTCCAGAATGGTGGGCCGTTTGCAGGGGGGTGCTGGAGAGCCTTGTGCGGTAAACAGGAGCTGAGGCACACTGTTGGCGTGTGGTGGGGAGAGGGCTGGTGGGACTCGCTTCCACACTAGCCCTTGGCACAGGCACTGCTCCCATTCAGGGTAGCCATAGACAGAGACATCGCGGGGCCCTCAAGGCTCAGGCCTGTGTCACTGCCATCCCAGGTCCCAGCGCCCCCAGGCAGGCTGGGGTTGGCTTCAGTGCCAGCGTTACAGGGGGTCCCCAGGGCTGGTTGACGAACCACTGCCTATGCTGGAATGAGGCAAGGCCAGAGAAGGCCAGGCTGATGGAAAGGAGCTCAAAGGCAGGGGCCAAAAAATGGACTGTGAGTATGGGGGTGAGGGTGAGGCGGCGGGACAGCTAGGTACCCTTTCCTAAAAGCCCTGAGGGAAGGAGATGGGAGGGCACTGCAGGGCATGACGGTTTAGAGCTTGGATTCCAGAGTTGCAGGCCTCTCCCCCACCCTGGGAAGGTGTGTATGGGCGGGGGCAGGCTGGGCCGGGCAGTCCTGGGCAGCGGTTACCCAGACTAGATGCTGTGACTGAACTTTTGTGGTGACAGGCACCCTCTCGTGGGCATTGGGGGAACAGCTGAGTACCCCACATGAGGGAACTACTGAGGCCAGAAAGAAATCTCCAGACAGGCAGGTCTGACAGAGAAAACAAGCTGGTAGCAGCAGGTACCACTATAGGGAGGGACGAGTGAACAAGTAGCAGGTGCTCAGAGAACACATTCAGGATGTCCTAAGGCCTGGTTCAGGCTCCATGGGGGGAATCTGTCCCCAAAAGTGATGCCTGCCCTGGGCCAGTCCCCAGGCAGCTGGGTCCTCTTGGCTTATCCCTGGCCCCCAGCAGTGGGGAGGCCCATTCAGAGGAATCATCCCAGGCCTGGAAGTGGACCCACCCTGTCTTCCCAGCAGGATGTAGAAGAGTAGAGGGGTGGTAGCTTCTCAGGAACGACCCTTAGTCGTTTAACAGACAAAAGCCGTCCTGTCCTACCCCCCAGGACAGGAAGAGGTCAGGGAGGAGGCAGGGATCCAAGCTACCCAACGCTAACTTGGGCCCAAATACAGAAGGTTGACTGGCTTGCAAAGAGGTACCAGCTGCTGCCCACACCCTGCAGGGCCTGGGCAAAGAGAGGGCTGCCCTGGGGAGGAGGGAAGGCTCTGGGGACAGAGGGGGCTCTGCTGTCTGTTGGCTGGGGGCCCGGTGCTCACAGCACCTTGCCTGGGTTCATGAGGCCTCGGGGATCCAGCGTGGCCTTGAGCCGCCTCATGACCTCCACGCCCACAGCGCCCACCTCCTCCTGCAGCAGCTGCCGCTTGCCCAGCCCGATGCCATGTTCCCCAGTGCACGTCCCGTGCAGTGCCAGTGCGTGCCTGGAGGCCAGTGGAGAGAGGTCCTCAGAGGGGCCCTCTCCCTGCATTCTCTGGCCACCCTGGCTCTGCTCCTACCTGCCCAGCTGTTGTGCAAAGGCCTTGACCCTATGGAGCTCCTCGGGGTCCTTGGGGTCCACCAGCAGGATGCAGTGGAAGTTGCCGTCCCCCACATGCCCAACGATGGTTCCTGGGGGCCCAGAAGACAGAGATGCCATCTCCAGCCCTGCCCACCCAGGGGCTTATGAGGCCTGATGCTTCCCGCCCATCACGGCTTGAGAACTGCCCCACCACGTCCCGACAGTGAGCAGACAGGACCTGTCAATCCAGAGGCTTTCAGGTCCTCCTTGGTTTGCACCACAATCTCTGGCAGCCGGGAGATGGGCACACATACGTCAGTGGAATAGCCCTGGGTTGGGAGACAGGGACATGAGTTGCTTCTCTCTGCCTGCCCGGAGGTAAGAAGGTCACTGGTCAAGGCCAAGAGTGGGTCTAGGGGGACTTGGCTTCAGGTATTGGCTTCATACAAGGAAACATCCCTGCTCCTCCCTGGGTCTCAGTGTCTCCTGGGTGTGCTCTCCGCCGGCCCTGCCAGCAGGGGCTTTCACCACTCACTGTGCCCCTCACCCTCTGCTACTTGCAGGACCTCCAGCGCCCTACACAATCGAGCCCTTGCACAGGCCGCTCCTGCTGCCTGGAGCCCCATCGTCCCCTCCGGTTGGGCTAACATCTGTGTGTATTTCAGGCTTGTTTTACCCCTCCCTTCAGGAAGCCTGCATTGTTGGCAACTCCTAAATGCATCATCCTGTGGCCACCTGCTTCCCAGCTTTCCTCAGGATCCCCCCTCCGTCCCTGTCCCAAGGCCTCTAAACCGAGTGAGAGCAAGCTGGAGCTGGGGGGACAGTCTGCAGCCCTGGGTTCCAGGCCCAGCTCAGCCAGCCCCCACCCTGGTGGGCCTCGGTCTGCTGCTCTGCACAGTAGGGTGGTGGGCTGAGGAAACGGCTCCTGGGCTGAGCCACAGGATCGACCCCACCCGAGTCTCAGCTCACCTTGCAGCCGGGCCGCAGAGCCATAGCCGCGTACCAGGCGTTGTGCCTTGCTGCCCAGAGCCGGCTGCGCTGCTCAGCCTCCTTGGCCCAGGAGAAGTGGGAGGCCCCATTGTGCTTGGTGATCTCTTCTGTGGGTTGGGAGGGGTTGACAGTGGGCCTTCCCCGGGGCCTCGACCGCCCACAGCAGCCCACACACCTGCCCGCTGCAGCTGTTCCTCCAGGGTCTGCTCAGAGCCATGGAATTCCAGGAAGAGTGTGGGTGCCACCACGTAGTCCAGCTTGCTGTACCTGTTGCAGGCGTCCATCATGACGTCATCCAGGAACTCTGGGACCAGGTAGAGGGCAGACCTGAGGCCTGGCCTTCAAAGGGGCCTCCAGGGGAACCCATGCGGATGGTGCACCCCTGCCTCACCGATGCGGGCCACAGGTACTGCGGCCTGAAGAATGTGCACGGTGCTGTCCACGGCAGCCTGGACACTGGGAAATGCACAGGTGGCGGCCACCGTGGCCTCGGGGACAGGGTGCAGGCGCAGGGTGGCGGCTGTGATGAGGCCTAGTGTCCCCTCAGAGCCCACAAAGAGTCCTGTGAGGTTGTAGCCAGCTGCACTCTTCCTGGGCCCCAGGGACACAGAAGGCAGGTGAGGACCCATACCACATACTCACGGGCATCTGGCCCAAGGCCTGGGGCTGACACCTGTGAGGCTCAGAATGGGGCAGGGCCAGGCTCTGTCACAGAACCCTGGAGCTGGAGCTGAGACCCAGGACACTGACTCCTAGGACCCCTGCAAAGTAGAGAACTGAGCCCAAGTCTCGGCTGGCCTGCCTCTTGGCCCAGATTGTCACCAAGGCAACCAGGCAGCCAGGCACCTGCTCGGCTGCACAGCCCACATTCATGATCACAAGGAACATGCAACCTTTGCCCTTGTGACAGTGTTTCGGGTTCCCAGGCCCAGCCAGGTATGGAGGAGGGTCACTTCACAGCCAGCCAGCCCCATCTCTGACAGAAGCTCCAAACCTCAAGGCTGCAGTAAGGGCACTCACCGGAAGTGACGGCCGGGCCCCGCAGTATGCAGCAGCTCCCCGCTGGGCAGCACCACGTCCAGGTTCAGCACGTTGTCCCGCATGGTGCCATAGCGCACGGCATTGGTGCCTGAAGCTCCGGTGGCCGCCATGCCACAGAGAGAGGCATCTGCGCCTGGGTCTGGACAGCAGAGTATAAACAGAGGGCAGTCTGGGTGGGCGGGAGTGCCTTTCCCTCAGTTAGAGGGGCAAGGGGTCCCTTCAAGCCCCAGGAAGAGTCTTGCCACCAGGGAGGCCCCAAGGCCCCAGGAAAGGTCTGGGCATATCCTAGGCCTACCCACGGGGAACCAGAGGCCACTGTCTCGCAGGTAGGTGTTGAGAGCTCTGTGGGTGACGCCAGGCTCCACCACCACCGAGAAGTCTTCGGTATTCACCTTCACGATCCGGTCCATGTGGGTCAGGTTAATGCAGACACCGCCCTGGCAAGAGGGAAGGGAGCTGAGGGCAGGACCTGATTAGCCATCTCTTGGTCTGCAGCCACACAGGGCTGGCTGCGTGGTGAAAGCATTGACAGATGTGAAGGGGGGGACCCCACCCTACCTGCACAGCGCAAACTCCACCCTCAAGTCCTGTGCCAGTGCCAAAGGGGAGGATGGGCACACCTTGGCGGTAGCACAGGGCCACCAGCTGGCCAACCTGGCCCACATTCTGGGGCCAGACCACCACGTCCGGAGGCTGACAGCTAGAACCAGAGACCAGCATTTCAGAGACATGAGGTACCCTCTTGTCCCGCCCTCTCATCAAAAAGGCTGGGGGTGTTGCAGAGCTTGAGGCTACACAGTGGGTGAGGGCACGCAAGTGCAGCGGAGAGAGGCCAGGACACCCCAAAACAGGAGGGGAGTGGGAGAAGATGACCCAGGACCCTCACTCCACACCCACCCTGACGCCCCCACCTGTACATGGACTCGTCCCTCCCATGCTGCTCTCGGACCGCAGCAGTCGTAGATATGTGCGGGGCCCCCACCACTGCCTTCAGGGCTGCCACAAAGTCCTCACTGAGTGCGCCCTGTGGGGAGAAACACACTGCTGGGGTCACCCAACAGATGGACTGGGCCCCTGCTGCAAGCTGGGAGTGTGGAGGTTCGGGGGCCACCAGCCCCTCTGTTCTCCCCCGCCCACCTGGCTGGCACCATCTCTAAACAGCTCAGCCAGATTGTACCCAGCTTTAGGCAAACCCACCGTACAGGGTCATGCACTTTCTAAACAGACCCAAGGAGCCAATGTTTTTTCACTTTGGAAAATCTAGTACCACCCCAAAATAAAAAACAACAAAAACTCTACACTAAGGATGTCAGCAGGGGGCCTTGAAAACAGCCAGCCACGCCCCAGTGAATCTAGTGTCAGTCAAGCGCAGCCCCAGGCGAGCAGGAGACGCAGGTCAAAGGAAGGGAAAACTGGCTTGGGTGGGTTGCGGTGCAGCTCTTGAAGCCCTTCCAGTGATTTCTTCATATTCTACAGATTGCCACACGGGTACTTCTTTCAAAACATGTCTCTATTCAGAAGCCTCAGAGGGGTGCACTGAAGCCCACACATCTCTCAGGTGACATCCCTCCCAGCCTCGGACCGGCGGTTGGGAAATGTTTGCCACAGACTAGCCCAGGAGTCCTTTGCCAGAGGTCACGTGGAGCCGCTGCACCCCAGGGCCTATTGGGAACCAGGTGCTCCACCCTCCACGCCTACCTTTGTAACCCTGGAGCAGTAGCCCCTCCAGGGGCACAGCCCCCAGCGAGCGGCCCGGAGCAGAAAGGCCATGGCTAGGCAGTGGCCCAAGGGTGTGGGCTGGGGTCCAGGGTGAGCTGGCTCCGCCAGGGGTTGTGCAGGAGGTGGGGCCTGCTTAAGGTGGCGCCACTTAAGGTGGCCCCTGACGTGCTTTGCTGAGTCAGGCCCCTGGGTGAATGCCAGCATCAGTAGTTCTAGAGAGGCTTACCTGGCACATGGGGAAACTGAGGGATGGCAGCCACTCCAAAGACTCCCCAGGGCACTTTGAACAAAACACAGACTCCCTGTCATCTTGAAGGTCCTGCCAGTTCAAAAATGATTTGAATTGTAGGTTGCTTCTGAATTGATCTTGTAGCTAGCAGCCATGCTGAATTCTCAGAGTTAATTCTAATATTCTGTTGACTCTCCTGTTTTGTTTTTCGCCTAAATGCCTCCCAATTTTTACTCCTCCTTTCTTTTCCTTTTTCACAGCCCTGGCTTGGACATCCAGGTTAAGCAGGAGTAGGAAGTCCAGGTCGAATTTGAAGGACTACATCCCTCCAACCACAGGCCACTAACTAACTCAATTAGTTATGGTAGTTAGTATAAGGTTGCAGTAAGGAGAAGAGGACGCACAAAAGTGGGGTTAAAGAGAAGTTTTTATTCTGCACTCCCAGGAGAGGTCCACGGGTCCCTGAGAGGGGCCAGAGAAGTCGAGATGCCCACATTAAAGAAAGAGTTTTTTATAGTGATTTTCTTCCTGGTTCTTAGAGAACCGGAGTGAGAGCAGGGTATGTGTTACAGTTACCAATAAGGTTAAAGTACCCTATTAGCATGGGGGTAGGAAGCAGAGTTGAAGCACTTCATTAACATGTTGTTGTTGTTTGCCATCGAGTTGGCCCCGACTCATAGTAACCCCTCCTAGGGTTTCAAGGCAGTATCACTACGGAAGTAGGATTGCCCAACCTTCCTTCCGAGGAGTGGCTGGTGGGTTTGAACCGCCAGCCTTCTGGTTAGCAGTCAAGTAAGTACCTTAGGCTCTATGCTACCAGAGCTCCTTTCATTAACATAGTGGGCAGGAAATGGTTGGGGGCTTTTGTGAGTAAGAGTCAGGTGCTAGGGTCTTTCGTAAGCAAGGGCTAGGTGCTGGGGTTTGGTATGGGCTCTGGTCAGGCACCTCCTTGCTTGACCAGTTCTTACAATTCCCTCCGGCTCAATTATTCACCCGCCTGGCCAGCCATGTTTCTGCCTAACAGTTAGTGCGTGGCTTTATTTCCCACGTTTGAAGAACATACTCTCTATCTCAGGATACTGCTTCAACTTACTAAGATGAAACAATTCCTAGCAGAATTCTCTCTTCAAAACACTTTGAAAGATTCCAGACTTTTAAGCTTAACTGTGTTCCTAACTTCTATATTTGTTAATACAAACCAAAGCCAAACTCACTGCCATCAAGTGGGAACTCATAGTGACCCCCATAGGGTTTGCGAGGCTGTAAATCTTTACCTATCGCTCCAACTTCCTTCTGTGGAGCTGCTGGTGGGGTTGAACCACCCACCGTCTGGTTAGCAGTCAAAATGCCTTATCCATTAGGCCACCAGAGCTCCTTTTCTGTTAGGACCAAAAAAAACCCCAAAACAAACTCAGTGCCATCCAGTTGAACTCGACTCATAACGACCCCTTCTGGGTTTCCAAAGGGGTAAATCTTTACGGAAGTAGATTGCCCAACCTCCCTTCCGAGGAGTGGCTGGTGGGTTTGAACCGCCAGACTTCCGGTCAGCAGTCAAATGCCTTAGGCACTACGGTACCAGAACTCCTTTTCTTTCATGTTAGTACCAACCAAAAACCAACAGAATCCCAAAATACAATGGCTGATTTATTGGCTTTAGCATTTCTTTTAGTAGGTTTCTGGATCGTTAACTGTCTTGGTTTTTGTTTATCCGTAAATGCCAAGTTTTTATTTAATTTGGGAAGAGTTAATCAAATTTTGGAGGGGATTCGGCTTCAAAGCGAACCCTTGTGTTACGGGATTACCATCCCTAACCTACTCAGGGAGAAGCCAACTGTGCCCGCCCGGAGATTACCACAGACCGCCCTCACCAACCAGCTGAACGAGGTGTAGACTTTCCCGACAGTCCCTAACGGCCCGGCCCTGGAGGCCTATGGGAAACGTAGTCCTAAAATTCGACGGACCACCCCTCGGAGGACCCTGGGAACGAAGCGCGGCCCCAGCATCTGCGCATGTGCAGTGCTGAGAGCGCGCTGGAGGCTGCCCTTCCCCCACCTCTAGCCGCGAGTGGGCGACAGGACCCCTCTCTCCTTACGTCTTTGCCACCCCGCGCCGTGACTCGGTCTGGCACTGAGTCTCGTGTGGAGGCTGTGCCCCTCTAGGTACGAGAGAGGCTGCCTGGCAGATGTGCGGGGCCTGGGGGCTGAGGGATGGGGTGCGGGATGGGCTCGTGCCCGCGCGGGGTGGGAGCCCAAACTTCGGCGACTCGCGGGCGGCGGTGACCCTCGGGGCGGCGTCCAGGGCTGCACGGCGCTCTCCTCCGAGCAGGACTGTAGGGGCGGCGCGGCAGGGCCCTCGAGGGCGGGGATTGCGGAGGGGCACGGCGGCTACGAGGACTCGCCTTCCTCCCTTTGTCAGGAGAAGCGTCTCCGAAGGCGTCCAGGGTCCCAGCCGCGCGGGAGCGAGTACGGAAGTCGCTCGGGAACGCGCGTGGGACCCGGCTTGAGGGCGAGGCGGGGCGGGGGCGGACACCTGTCAGCGCCCAGGAGAAGCACTCTGCGCCCCTGGGCCTGTCGGGGTGGGGGTGGGGGTGGGGTGGAGGCTGGAAAGCCCCAGTTCGTGTGGCCTGATGCGCACCTAGTGCCCAGTGAATATACGCTATGTTCGTGCAGGAATGTTTTTAGTTAGGGACTGTATTACAGCCATTCTTTCCATCAACCCTGTGGGGCTCGGTTTTAGCACCCACTTTTCAACAGAGTAAGCAGAGGTTCAGAAAGGTGGAGTAATTTACTCAAGGTCACACAGCTAGTACTTGATATTCGGTGAATGGCGAATGTTTTATTATTTGTCATTTGATATGTCCGGACATCATCTGTAGGCAGCAGGGGCTGAGAAAAATTGTATTTGTGCATCAGACGGGCTTGCCTTTCCTAGTAGACGGTTAATGTCAGGCTTCCAGTCGTTCTAGTCAGGATTTTGGTTGTTGCTGTGGTTTATTCTCATTGCACGACTGGTTTCAAATTCCTGAGTGAGGGTTGGCTTACTGGAGGGTTGCCTCCGATACACACACACACACACACACACACACACACAATTCTAAGGAGCCCTGGGGGCGCAGTGGTTAAGCGTTTGGCTGCTAGCCAAAAGGTTAGCAGTTTGAACCTACCCAGCAGCTCCACAGGAGAATGATCTGCTCCCATCAAGTTTACAGCCTGGAGAACACTATTGGGCAGTTCTGCCCTGTCACATAGGGTCTCCGTGAGTTGAACCCCGCTGCGTGGCACAGGGCGTTTCTCTTCCGCCCTCAGCTTTAGGCCTTCCCAGGGTACCTGTGGGAGCTCTGGTAGCAGAGTGCCTAAGGCACTTGACTGCTAACCAGAGGCTGGCGGTTCAAACCCAAACCCACCAGCCACTCCTCGGAAGGAAGGTTGGGCAATCCTACTTCCGTAGTGATACTGCCTCGGAAACCCAAGGAGGGGTCGCTATGAGTCGGGGCCTACTCGACGGCAAATAACAACAACAACAAAGGGTACCTGTGCCTCACAGATGCTCTTCATGCTCCTTCCGTCTGCGAGCAGTAGACTGCTGTTGTTGGCTGCTCACTAGTTGCTAACCTGGTGGAGGAGCGCAAGGGAGCCTGGTCTTTTTTATGATTTTGAGTTTTGTGCCACGTTTTTTTCCCCACTTTGTCTGGGACTTCTTACTATAATCCCTTTCAGCGATCAGCAGTGGTAGCTGGGCATCATCTAGTTCTAGACTCAGGGTCATGGAGGCTGGGGTTCACATGGTCCATTAGTCCTTTGAACTGTTTCTTGGCATCTCTGATTATCTTTTTTTCTTTGCTTCAGACGGGTAAAGACCAATAGTTGCACCTTAGATGGCCGTTCACAAGCTTTTAAGACCCTGATTGGCTAGCATCACTCTTAAGTGAGAGGCTCCTTACCCCTGGGGTCAAGGATGGGGCTTTCTCAGACTTCATGCTTCTCCCCCATGGTGGTGGTGGTTGTTATGTGCCGTCGAGTCGGCCCGACTCATAGCAACCCCTCCTTGGGTTTCCAAGGCAGTACCACTACGAAAGTAGGATTGCCCAACCTTCCTTCCGAGGAGTGGCTGGTGGGTTTGAACCACCAACTTTCTGGTTAGCAGTCAAGTGCATTAGGCACTATGCTACCAGAGCTCCTCTCCCCCATGGTAGGACACCTCTAATTGAACAGGATGGTTTCCTGCTCCTCCCCCAGGGATAGATAGAGCTTTTTATTTCTTTCTCCATCATTGTGTGATAATTTGCTTTTTTTCTTAGCAATGTCATGCATCTGAAAATCTGTCTTCTACTCAGTTAGCTTTAGTACCTAAGGCACTTGACTGCTAACCAGAAGGCTGGCAGTTCAAACCCACTAGCCACTCCTTGGAAGGAAGGTTGGGCAATCTACTTCCGTAGTGATACTGCCTCGGAAACCCAAGGAGGGGTCACTATGAGTTGGATCTGACCCGATGGCACATAACAACAATGACTCAGTTAGCTTAGACTTTATAATTTCTAATATTTGGATGCGTTTTACTGTCTATTTTAGTGCTTTATTCTTTACTTTGCTACTTCTTTCTTCTTTTTTCTTTTCTTTTGACGTGTTAGTTTTATTTATGTCGTCTCTTTTTCTGCTTCTGGAAACATACTCTGCTTTTACTCTTTTAGTAGATTTCTATGCATCCAGTAACCATTTGCCAGTAGGTTGATTCTGACTCCTGGCAACCTTATGTGTTTGAGAGTAGAACTCTTCTGTGAGGTTTTCAGGGGCTGTGAGGTTTTTGAAGCAGCTTCCCAGGCCTC